ACCAATCAAATAATAATTGATCATTATTACAACCAATCACAACCAATCAAACTAATTTATTAAATGAGCATAATTTTAATATTTTGGAATCCTGCCAAAGGAAAATAAATTATTCACGACAAAACAAAAATGATGCTTTATACATGACCATGCAAGAACTTTGAAAGAAAGCAGGTGGCATACCATCGACCCCTGGAGCCTAATTGGTCCATTTCTATTAATGCATTCTGGATTTTCTCCTCTTCCACTGGTTTTGTTAGCTGCTCAATCACTTCCTCAAAGATTGATACTATGATTTATTGTAAGTTGCAACTCTCTACCTGAGGATCAATAGATCTAAAATGATTTAAGCACATCTGAACTGTATTTAAAGTATCTTGGTTGTTTAAACACTTTTTTCCTTCCGAGTTTACTAAGTTTTGAAGACTATTTAAGTTCTTTTTTTGATTTACACTAGCCTGGAAAAAATTAGTATGCATATCTTCAGCTTTCAGCCACATAATCCTAGACTTGTTATTCCAAAACAACTCTTCTTCCTTTGTAAGCCTGGTTTAGCTCACTCTTCACCTTATGCAAATTATCCCAATTCTTATTTCCTCCTTGGAGACCCAACTAATTCGGTTTCATCTTGCAATCTTTGATTATATTAGTTGAATTAGTCTTTGAACTAGATTTCCAATTTAAAAGAGCTACTCTAACATTTTTATTCTCTTATGAAGACTTAACACAAACTACAACATAAATAGCTTTAGGTAACATAAAAAAAAGTGATACTTAAAGGCTCTAAAGTGTTACTATAGACAATAGGTAACATAAATATTGGTGCTGCAGTTGCTCGTGCTACCTAAAGCATGTAATACTTTGAGTAACTTTTGGTAACACATCTATTTTATGTTACGTTAAATATCTTATTGTAACGCTTTGAGGTAACACATGTTAAATGTCATGTATGATACTTTAAGTAACACTTTTTCATCAAATGCAACATTTTCTTTGTAACATTTTTCACTAAAAAATAACACTTTATTTATTAGTCGTATCATTTTTGTTTATCATTGTATTACTTTTCAAATGGTATAGTAACATTTTTTTTATCAGCGATATTTTATTACAATAATTTTAAATATTTTATATCACTTTAAATAATTAATTATGTGGAATAAAATATTTTATATTTCTTTTAATTATTCATGAACAAATACTAACAAATAAACATAGAAATAAATTCTTATTTACTGAATATATAATCGAAAATGTACATTTTACATCTATAATTAAGTCAGAGTACATAAAAATAAATAAAATAATATAAAAATTAGAGAAAAGTGT